TATATATATATTATAAATTTGCAGCTTGACGTGTTGATATAGATGAACACACACATGGCTAGATTGAGTCAGCTTTTCAACCTGTTCAAGATGGATGCATGCTTCTGTCTGCTGCATACATTTATACAAGCCTATTATACCTTTTGGCCAGGGTATCAAAAAGTGGCCGCAACAGCATTATATATTTTATTTTAGCTTTTGCTACACTTTATTTGTTTCAACTGTTTTTTTTTCGCTGCTATTGCCATCGATGCAGCAATAGTTGCTGCCGTTGCTGCTGCTGTTGCTTCTGCTACTGTTGCTGCTGCTGTTGCACTTGACATTCACTGTGAGGATTCAGCGGTCGCTGATATGTTGATGACAGTTTTGTGTCAGCCAACGATGCGCTTTGTTTTTACTATTATTATAGTTGTTGTTGCTGTCGTTGCCTGTTGCTGCTGCTGCTGAGATGCTGCTGCTGTCGGCGCTAAAAGGAAGTGGAGAAATCTAAGCCAGTGGCAATACAAAATTAACAAGATGCCACAACTTTGGTTCAATGCAATATTTCTGGTCTCAACTTGACCGAACGCGGCTCAAATTGCTTTCGTAGTGGCAAAAGGTTAAAAACAAAGTTATTTTGGGCTATAAAGTAAGTATAGTTTTTTATAGAAATATACATGAGTATGACTGATGAAAATTAAGGCACATCGATTAATTTTTGATTATATAGAATAAGAAGTCCCTGACCAAAGCAGACTTTATGTTTTTATACACATTCAAACTCTTATTTAAACTATTTGCCAAATGAGGCCAGCCTGAGCCCTGCATGAAATCCAATATGCGCTCAAGTCTTTGCTTAAATCAGGAATTGAGATGAAGAAGGCTAACTACTTGTGCATTTTGAAGAACTCATATATATAAATTAATATGTAGCGACAATTTTACTTGGAATTTGAATTTTGAAGAAAGGAACTTCTCTCATCGAAACGCAACTAATTTCTATTGATTTGTCTACTTCATAATTTTACTAACTTCTGTTCTGCAATAAATATATGTTTGGCAATTGATACATATATGCAATAGCTTACGTCTGTACATTCTGGTTGCACAGTGGAAGGCGGCAGCAAATAGCTGGAAATGTTCTTAGAGCCTTGAGGCAAGTGAATTCCGTTTAAAGGAGAACACTTGGCCTCAGGTTGGGCAGCATTCTGTTGGACTTAAAAGCTGTTGCGGTGCTTGTCTCAAATTTGCAATCTTTGGCTGCGAAACTTTCTCAATTGAAAATTGCATTTGAGCGGCGGTAAAGGGGCAACGTCAGCGGCAGGCCGAGTCAGCGATTTCCCTCGAATTTTCCGCAGCACACAGCGAGCCGCTTGACTGGAGCTTAGACTAAAAGCTGGAGCTGGAGCTGTTGTTGTTGTAGCTGGAAGTCGTTGCCACCAGCCGTTGACCGAAAAAAGTATGTCAAGTTTTCGACAAAGATCAAGTACATCTCAGATAGTACGTCAAATGTTTTTTTTTTTTTGTTTTGTTTACTGCTGCTATTGATGGTGGTGCTGGTGATGCTGGTGGTGCTGCAGGCCAGTTGCTGCATCCGCTGTTCGGCCAATTCCAGTTGCCATGACCAAAATGTTCTCAATCTCACAACGTTTTGGCTTAGATTTTGGTGCAATTTTCTTGCTGCCAGCTGCAGTGAAAGTGCAGAAACAGCTAACTGGCAAGTGCAGAAATTTGTGGCACACACTCGCAGTTGCAATTGCGTTGCCCCAGCAACACACAGCACGATGGCCAATTACCAAGTGAACAAAAAATTTTAAATTATCATAAAAAACTAAACTAATCTATAGCTAGAAAAACTGCTGTCTGAGCTGCCTGAAGGCACAAAGGGCTACTTGAGGCTATGAAAATCGCATGGAAAGGTCTAAATAAGCAGACAAAGAAAGCACGTGACCTGCAGAAGTAGTTTTGGAGTAATAGAAAGAGAGTCAGAGAGACTCATCTTGATATACATATGCATCAATTTGATAGGATCGAAGATTTCACTTGCTGCCAATTCCATTATATATACAGTATTTATTCTATTAAACTTCTTTCAACAGCTTTTTACCCTTGATGGATAATGGAAAATCAATCTGTTAATTAAGCATTATGTCATGGAAAACAGAAATTATCTTTAATGTTAATAGATGAAAATTAGTAATAACAAGAACAGCCAGTTCGATAGCAGCACGAGGTCAATGTGCCGCTATGGTCGGGGTCAGTGCGCCAACTGGTGGGCGTTTTCTGGCTAGCGGCTATGGGTTCGGTCATCGGTGTCTACAGTTAGCATATGGCCGTACTTTGGCGACCTACATATTTAGGTTTCGTCTACACTGACCTACTGCTGAGAGTGCTGTGCGGGTCTGGGTCAGAGAAAGGGAGAACTTGTTTGTGGTAAGTGCTCACTTTTGCCACAGTCGCTTGGATAGCCGCTTGCAGTGATTGCTCAATCGAAGGAGGTAGCCAACCAAGACCAAGACCAAGACCCGGCCAGCAATCAAGTTCAGCTCTGGCCAAACTGACACCTGCACCAGCAATATCAGCAGCGCGGCCATCAATCGACATCTGGCAAATACAGATACAGGTTCAAAGAACTTTTCGATCGCCCATTCACTGTCGCTGCTCGATTGTTGATTAGGCTTTCACGACGTCACCTGTCGACGTGAGCGCTTTTAATTCAAAACCGCTGCTGGCACTATCTGAGAAGATTTCAAATTGTTAACGCAACAACTTAATGTCTGGCTGCCCGACTAATTATACCCTGCAAGTCAGATCTCGAAGGAAACGGTTTCCTTTTAAACTGAAAGCTATAACTATGCGAATTGGAATAGCTAAAAGCATATATTGGCAAGATATATCTAAAATTTTCGATACATGAGAGCTTGAGAGCTTTGCAATTCAAGATTGTGGTAAACATTTTATCACACATAGATCAAAGATTAACCTTAGATTCGGTTCTGAATAGCTATTTTATAATATTTACTTTGTTTAATAAAATCAGTTAGCAACTTTGGTATACTTTTACCCATGTTTAAATAAATCTAGGAAATCAGTTCTGTTTTGTCAAAGTTATGAAAGTTGATAGCTTACAACTTTGGAGATATTTTCCCCTTGTACCATAAACTCAGCTACAATATTCAGATGTGCTTAGGTGCAGCCAACTTAACTTTTGAAAATCACGAAATGCTGTGAATAAATCGTGAATTTAATAAGATAAACGTCGCAAGGCATATTCATGCATGCACTTGAATGCATCACAGCAAATGTAGCATGCAACTTTCCAAATAACATACAACTCTTAAGATGCCTTCGATCATGTTCTGTCAGGCCAGAGATGGGCCCGTGCTTGCCAAATGTCACGGCACGAGCACGACCACAGTTCACATATGCCAGTACACACGCATCACGAGACACATTTGTTTTTGTATACATTTGAAGCGTAAAAGTAGCTTACATGTATTATTTATCAATGCATTTATTCTCCATGACATGCAAATTTCGTGTCGTGTCACGGCACACGCCCATCTCTAATTCAGAGAGTGACTGCGCTATTTTCATATGCGCGCACTGTTGCCGCTGATAACCCAAAATCCCAGTTAAATATGAAATCAAAAGCCGTAAAAGACAAGGGAATTCAAATACGCAGCGAGCACTGAAAGAGAGAGCACAAAGCCAATTACAACCAGAAAAAAACTAAAGACAAAAAAACAAAAATAACTAAAAATGTCCCTTACTTCGCAGCTCGAATACTCTACTTTCTAATAATGTTATTATGAAATTTTATATAATAAAAATACCTTAGCTGAAGAGTTTGATGCTATGAAAGACACATTTTCACAAAAATATTATTATTTCGAAATTAATTTAGTCTTTTTAGCATTTTTTGATTTCAAAAATAAGAGCCCTAAAATTTTAAAAGATTGATTAAAAAAAAAAACATTTTCTTAACTTAACATTATTTTGCTTTAAAAGAATCTTCTATTTAGATAAAAATTGAAATAATTCACATTATCTTGTTTTAAAAAAGCTGCTTGTATTTTAGGAAAAAATAGATTAAAATATAAACATTAAGAGTTTTTCTATTTTCACATAATCTCGGTTTTAAAACAAAATCTTCTATTAAAAAAAAAAAAAAACAAATCAAAATATAAGCTTTGAGAAAATAGCTTAATAATTTATTAACCAAAACTTTACAAAGCCGCCAAAAATGAAAAAGTTTCTAAGCTTCAGTCTTGTTTAGAAAAAAAAATATATATTTTTTTTATAAAAAATGAGATTACAATATATATCTTGGGATATTAGATGGACATAATTTAGTATTGTAAGAGTACAAGAGTCCCACAGTAGCTAAGTTTTCTTTGAAGTTAAAGCTCAAAATAATATGAAAACAAATAACATATATCTATATCATTTATGATAGATGGCTTTTTGGAACAGACAGTTCTTGATATAACTAACTAATATATAGAACTGTAGATTGAGGTCTGATTTATCTGTGCTCCAAACAAATGTTACCTGTGATTTCTTCAAAAATTATTTTAAAAATTTGTTTAGACTTTATAGGGTATATATGTGCTGCATGAGTTTAAAGAGTATTTTGAAGGCTATTAAATATAATTAACCAAGCTGACGCCACATAATCTATCACAAGTTTCGAACTGTGTACTTCAACCAACAAAGGCAGGCTTAACGCAAAAGTTTATATGCTCGCTCGGCGTTAGGGTAGCTTAAATCCGTTATGCATAAATCCAGCTGCGTGGGCGATGGTTTTGTCGTCGGCGGCGTCGTTGGAGCGACCAATTGCGAGTGCTCAATTACTTTCAATTGTCGCTTTGTCGCCACCCCAGCCACTGCCTCCGTCTCCGTCTCTGTCGGCGCCTCCTTCTCCTTCAACGACTCGATCGACGTTTACTTCGCGTCGCAGTTGTGGCCAAATATAAAAGCATCGAGGCGCTCGGGTAGGTGTTTCTTTTGCCAAGACAATGCCGAGAAGCGCGCTTATCATACACTGGCTGACAGTGGCCCTGGGCATGGCTCAAGGGCCATGGACAGCAGCGGGCATGGGACGCTTTCAGACGGCGGTGCCGCCCCCGCCACGCTGGGGTGCAAACATGCAAATGCTGCGCCGGCACAACAGTATGTAATCATGGTGACACTTGGAAGACGACTAATTGGATATTCTGCTTACAGGTGCCGCATTCGACTTTTGGACGGAGAACAGCGCGAGCAACATTTGGGAGCACTGCGGCCTCTTTGAGGGTGACATCATGCTGCATCGTGAACTGCTGCGCAATGGGCTGCTGAATGAACGTCAGACTTGGCCGGATGCCGCCGTGCCGTTCTACATAGATCCGGAGGACTTCAGTGAGTAGCCAGATATAGTGCACATAAATGCGATAATTGATGATTGATAGCGAACTGGCACAGCGGCCAACCAGACGATGGTTATACTGAAGGCATTCAAGGAATATCACGAACGCAGCTGCATACGCTTCCGGCCATATAAGAAGGGCGACAAGCACTGGCTGCTGATCAAGGGCAACTATTCCGGCTGCTGGTCGAGCGTCGGCCGACGTCAGGGCGGCCAAATACTCAATCTCAATACGCCCAAATGTGTCACGCACGGTGTTGTTGTCCATGAGCTGCTGCACGCGCTGGGCTTCTACCATCAACAGAGCGCCACCGAGCGCGACGAGTATGTTAAGATCAACTGGGAGAACATCTTGGATGGCCATGCGCACAACTTCAACAAGTACGCCCGCACGCACATCACCAACTTTGGTGTGGAGTACGACTACCAGAGCGTTATGCACTATAGCTCCCTGGCATTCAGCAAGAATGGAAAAGCCACCATTGAGCCACTGGTAAGCAACAATAACTATCAGCAAAATTCAGTTTCAATCGCATCTATTCTTCCATCCATTATAAATCCTTTTCAATATATTAAGCAAAAAATAAACTATGGTTTATATTTACCTTTTCCATTACTTTTATATGCTTCTCAAATAACACTGACACATTCGCAATGATTGTATAGCCGCTTGCAAGATTTATAGCAAGTTTGCTATCATTTTTATATCTGATAATGGGTCTTTTTGAATTTGTGTTTAGCGTGAGAGTTTTTGGAGATCCATTTTATACTATAGATTTTTACTTCTTCCTTAATATACACATAGTATACAAGCTGATAAACTAAATATATACATATGTATGTAGATACGTACTCACCCAAAATCAAATACGCAGAAACGTATTTTATTTATATTTAATAGTGGTAGGAATATCCAACTAGTTTATATAAACATCACTGAAATTACAAGTAGGGAGTGGATTAGTAAAAAAAGTAAAAATAAAGCTGAGAGAGAGAGAGAGGGAGACAGAGAGAGAGAAGAAGAGAAAAAGAGAGAGAGAGAGAAGAAGAGAAAAAGAGAGAGAGGCACAAAGAGAGTAGAGATTACATAAGAAATAAAAGATCGAGCAGAAAAAACCCACAACTGAACAAAAAAAAAAAACAATCAACTCAGGAAAACCTGTAGGGCTTACTTAAATGTTTCAGAATCGAGTAGTAGAGCATCATTTGAAAATACGTTATTTTAAATTCGCAAGACAGCGGGAAGTAAAGTTGGTCCGTTTACTATATACATACACACATACATACATACATACATACATACATACATACATATATACATGGATAAGTACATAAATTTACAAACTTATAAATACATACATACATACCATAAACATACACAACCACAAACATTTAAGAATAAATACCAACATTACTTGTTTAAAAAAACACTTGTAATGAACGCGTGAAAACCTGCGGGGCTTACTTGAATTTATGAGAATCGTGTAGTAGAGCATCAATGAAAATACGTCATTTGGAAATTGACAACGCAGCGGATCATAATCTTTGTCTGCGTTTGTTATAAATTAACATATATTCATATGCACACATACACACATAAATGCACATACATACATACACAAGTAAATAAATTTCATTTATTCATTTGGTATAAGATAGATGCACACTTGCATACAAGCTAAGATTTTATAAGTATTAAACAAAAAACACATCGTAAAATTATTTAAAATAATAGTAATGCATGTTATTATCATTAGGATCCGTATGCCTCACTGGGCCAGCGGCGCGGCCTGTCCGATAAAGATATTTCGAAACTAAACGAGATGTACGAGCAGGACTGTAATGGTAGCTACCTTTTGGGCTTTGATGGTTTTAGCAGCTATCTGGACGAGCTGCTCGACTACTTTCAAGGCAATTTGGAAGGTCTGTTTGGCTAGACGAGGATTAAGATTTATTAAACAAATACAAGTACAATTATTAATAAAGACTAAGCAGTTGCCTGGGCAACAAAAAATCTGAACTGGCTAAGCTCATCCAGCGTTTGGGCGGCTTCCAGTCGCAATGATTGACACGTTTGCTGCTCGGCCAGCGCCTGGAGCGCACTCTTCAGCTCCCCACTCCAGATGCACTGTACGCCGCGCAGACTAAAGCGTGCCAATAGCAACAGCATCTGACAGGCGCGCTGACGCAACAACTGATGACGGCTCTGTAGCAGGACGGCCAGCTGTAGGCGCGAGTCAAACACAATCTTCTCTACCAGCTCGGCGTTCTCGGGTAGTTCACGCAAAACGCAACAGAACAATGCCAGCATGCAACTAGCGAGTCGCACCGCGCTGCTGTCCTTAAAATCTGCAAAGCAAGGAATGGTTAAGCTTGCGTCTCACACTGTGTCCAGCCAGCTGCTCACCATGTGTAAGAAAATTGATGAACATGTCGTTGACGGCGAGTATTGCCACAGCGTCACAAAACTGGCTGAGGAACTGCTGCTGCTGATGGACCAGATGGCAGACCAGCTCGTACAGGCTGCAGGCGGTGCTCATCTCCTCGGCACTCAGGTCCGAGACGCTGCGCAGCGTTCGACTCAGGGAGACGCCCGTGCCGGCTGGCAGTGAAGCAGCCGAATCGGTTAGGTGGCGCTGCGAGAGAAGCAGCTTGCAGGCGTACATTAAGTTGGGCACCAGTTTGACATCAATATAAACTCCTTTTATGGCCTCCGCTACCAAATGCTGTTCGGCCAGCACAAAGGGCAGCGACAGCAGCTGCGCAACGCTCTGCAGCACCTTGGGTATGGCCTTGGAGTTTCGCAGTGGCGCCACAATTATGCTGACTAGATTGTGCTGCTTCAGCGATTCAAATTCGCCGTCCAGCAGCTCCTGTATGGAGCGATGCAAGAACGCCAGCCATTCGTCATTCTCAATGGGCGGGCTCTGAGATTCATCGCAGCTGTCCCAACCGGGCAACAGACAAGGCGGCGAGTTGCTATTATAAACCAAATACATTTAGAGACGTTCACTTTTAAATATGGATGCATTTACTCACTCGCTGCTCAATTTCTCATCGTTGGTGGAATGCATCGATTGCTTCAGCTGCTGTGTCTTCCTATCCTGCAGCTGTTGTGCCTGCGACTGCTGCGTGAGCATCTCAGTTGTTTTGCGCTGCACTTCTATGTCAATGCTCTGTCCCAGGCGCAGCGAAAAGTTATCCAAATTTTGACTAAGCTTGCGCTTCTCCAAATCCTTGCTACGCGACTGTTTTATATTGAGAGCCAGCTTCAGCTTCGACTTCATGGACTTGGTTGCGCTCAAAGCAGGCGCTTCGATTGCAAAATTGTCGTTCAGATGATTGAGTATCATATTGGAGTTGCCACTAACAAAGCAGGTTTGCGAATTAATCAGTGGCATGGCACCAGCTGCAGCAGCAGCAGCTGCAGTGCCGCTTGGCAACTCTCTGTAGGAAATATCCGCAAATGGCACTATAAGCCGCTGTACATTATCCTCAACATCGGTTTCCAGCTGCTCAATGTCACTCGGCGCAATGGCATTGATGCTATCTCGCGATGTGCTCAGGTTTTCATTGGCCACATCGCTCAGCTTTAACGCTGCCAAGACATCGCCCAAATCTGCGCCCACATGTCTATATAAAAATTGAACGATAAATGGAGTTGGCTACAGCACACGTTATAAACGAACCTCGATTGCTGAGATTTTTTGTTGTCCTTGGCCAGCTGGGGATTTATAAAGGGCGAACTTTGTGCTGCCTGTACCTCGGCTATGTATAGCTTGCCCTCGACAAAAGGATGGCAAAGCAGCTGCGTCCATGAGATGCGCATGCTAGGATCCTTCTCGAGCAAGCCCTGCAAAAAGGAACGGCACTCGCTGCTCAGCGTGCTGGGCCATTTGACGTCCTCGTGCTTGATCAGCTTCACCAGATGCAGTATGGAGGTTGCGCAGAACGGCGGCTGTGCCGCCATACTCTCATAGGCAATGCATCCCAGCGACCACATATCTGCCTGGTGATCGTACGGCTGCTCAGCCAGCAGCTCCGGCGCCATATAGAGCGGTGTGCCCTTTATGGAAGTCAACACATGTGTGCCCATCGTCATGTTGCGTGCGAGCCCAAAGTCGCAGAGCTTGGCGTGCATGTTTTTGTCCAGCAGCACATTCTGCGGCTTTAGATCCCGATGCAGTATGCGATTCGAGTGCAGATAATAGAGCGCCGACACCAAATGACAGACAACACGCTGTGCGTGCTCCTCGGGCATGGCGCCATTGAAGGACAAATATCGATGCAAATCCATTAGAGCGAACTCGGTGACCACGAACAAATCGAATTTGGATTCGAACGACTCCACCATTTCTATAACATGCGGATGCTTGAGACGCGCCTGAATGTCACATTCGCGACGCAGATTCTTAAGCTCGCGATTGGAACGACCGCGCTGCAATGAACGACCACGCCAATTCGTAGAATGCTCTTTTATTTAGCTAAGCCGGGATGCAATTGAGCTTACCTTTGATATGACTTTGATGGCCACCACTTTGTCATCATCGCGCCGCTGGGCTTTGTAGACACAGCCAAATGAGCCTTGGCCTACCAGAGAGCTAACCGCGTAGCGGTCCATTGTGACCGAAAATAAAACGCAACTTTCTACAGTAAAATGGGCTTTGAAATGCCTTAAATTCAATAAGCCGCAGTGTGACAGCAATTTAAAAACAAAAAACTAAAGGCAAAATACCAAACACACTCCACATATCGATATCTTGTCCGAACGATAATTATTGTATCGATATATTCGGAAACATCAACATGGCAATTTACTTTCCGAACAAAAAAAAATAAACTAGCAAAACAAAATTAACATCAGTATGGCGCACATTTTGAACAGTGCTTGGTGAACAAATACACAACACATAACTTTTTCTTATTTAAGATCATAAATATACTAAAACCGCTTATATTCGATATAAATATACCAACATATGGCGTAATGGGTATTCTTGCACATCGATACACACAGCTGGTACAATTTAAAAAAGTCACCTGGTTTTGAAAATTGCGAAACAGCTGATTAATCTACATGGCAACGAAGAAATCAGCTGTGGCAAATAATTTTGTTTACGGGTAAAAGCTGCAGGCATATCATAGGAGGCACTGCTAATTTGATCAAACAGACGCCGCAAAAGTAAATAATGAATAGACGAGCCCACTAACTAGATACACGCAACACAAACGACAGAAATATGCGCGAGCCCAATTTGTACGTAATTTTATCGCACGCGCTAATTGGTAAGTAGCATTGTTGAAAATCGCCGGCCGCCTCAGCGGATAATACGCGGCCATTAGGCTCGGGTTTCTTTTTTCTGTACATGCACCATGTGCGCGTCATCTTTGAGACGCGCACCAACATTCGGCATCTCAACCAACTGGAGCGCGAATCGATGCTGCGCCGCGAAGATGCCCTCTATTACACATTCTACAAGAAGCTAGCCGATGGCCCAGACTTCTGGCATGGCTACGAGCAGCTAAAGAACGTAACAGACATTGAATATCCGCACAGCGTCAATGTACTCCAACGTTTCTATGTGCTGCCCGAGCTAGTTACCGCGTAAGTAATCTAATTTGCCAAGTGCACTATATCTTAATGGGCATGTGCATGGCCAGACATTTATATGAATCATTGTCTCGTCACGTTTAATTTAAATTTGGAGCAAGGCGCTTTGCTTTGTTTAACTCGGCTCGTTGCAGCCTCACCAACTAGTTATATCAGAAATAAATCTTAGTTTTTGTGCTCACATTTCTACATTAATTCCTATATGACAAACATCTGCTACTCTTTCTCGACAATGAAATTATACGCTAATATTTTTTGTTTACAATTGTGACAGCTACCAGCTATCAATGGGAGAAAAATTACAGCACAGTTCGACTCAATTTCGTGCAAGGTTTTGCTTGGTAAAACAATAAGCAAGAGATCGGTTAACATTCATTCCAATACCTCAAAAGCTCATCGATGTGGAAAAATTGTTGTTCCCTAATAATATAATTGGGGGCATGCATGCACTTAAGTCTGTAGGTTCTATTATGCCCCCTTCAGCTATGCGCTGTCAATTGCCTTGTTCGGGTCTGCTAAGGTCACTCGAATTTAATTTTTTGTTTAAGGTCGTTGGGGGCAAACCCGCGCGAGACCAGGGGCCCATGCACATGCACAGATCTAGTGGCTCTTCTCTAAACCAATTTTATTTTTGTTTGCAGCTACTTCTTCCACATTGTGCGTGCCAGCTTTAATCCCAGCCTGCAGCCGATGCAGTTCTACTTTGAGTTCGTCTGGCTGATGGGCGGCGTCACGCTGCTGGTGCTCTACTTGTACGGCACACTGCTCAGCGAGAATGTGTTTGGTGGCATCTATGGCGTCCTCTCATATCTGATGTTCCATAGCTTCGCAGCGAAGATCTACGAACGGCCGCTGGCGCGTGAAAATTTTGCATTTCCCTTTATATTTTTACAAATGTTTTATTTGTGCATATGCATTGGCCGTATGCTGCACCGGCAGAAGCACACCTCGCGAATCTTTATGGTAAACAATTGTGGCTGCAACAAGTTTTTACAATTGATATAATAATCTTATATCTCTTAGGTCTGCGTGATGTCCCTGTTTACGGCGTGTGCGCTACTCTCGTGGCAGTTCTCCAACTTTATATTCACAACACAAATTATGATTGTGATGACCTCGTGGAACGTCAGCTCGATGCCAGTTGGTCTGGCGAATGCATTTGCATTGGACTACTCGCTCTCACATTTGCTGGGCAATTGCTTGGCCTTTGTGATCTCGCACGGCAACACCCAGCTGCTCTTCACCTGGCAGCTGAGCGTTGCCCTCAGCCTGTTCCTAATAACGATCGTCCGGCAGTTACGGAACCGTCGCTGCACGAACAATGTGCTGCAAGGCGACTATTTTTCATTTAAGTTAATATTGCTGGCGCTGCTGTTCGCCAGCAGCATGCAGGGTAAACTGGTTGACATGCTGAGCAAGTCGGGTCTGCTTAACTGGCAGGACAATACGTATATGCACTATTGTGATCTGTGGGCGCACTGGATGCTGCAGGCCAAGGTGAACTTTGTGACCAATCTGTCTGCCTGCAATCCGCTATATGCGCGTGTCGCCTGGTCGGAGCTGTGGCAGCTGGTCAAGACGTTGATTGTCAAGCCGTATTGCATGTACGGAGTTGTAATGCTGGCCACGTTCTTTCGTAAATGGCGCAAAAGCAATGTTATCACAAAGGCCAACCAGGAGCAGCGCGAACGCGCCCGCAACTATGTTCTGGAGGATTTTTTGGAAGAGCACCATGTGTCCATGAGCGATATGTCGAACAAACAAACCGAGCAACAGTTACAGCAATGCTTTGCCATGCTCGAGAGCTGTGACCACGACTACGAGCGCTATAAGCGCGAAAAAGCTAAAATGCAGCAAGAGCAGGCGCCGGAGCGCGATGACTTTATGCAGGACATTAAGCGCCTCAAGGCCCAGATACATCGCAATAGTGACAAACAGCGCAAAGAGCGCGAACAGGCCAGCGAATCCAATCTCAAAGAGACGTCTTCAATCGAAAGTGAATGTACGACAGAAGCAGACACCGAAATGCAAGCACAAACGGCGACTGCAAAGGAAACTCAAAATGAAACGGAAACTGACGAAACGCAGCCGTGCAAAACGCCCACCGACAAGGAGCCAGCCAACGGCAGACGCCGTCCAGCAACATCAGCGCGTCGCGACTCTGTTATACCCACGGCCAACGCTCAGATACTGAATCTGCATTATATGTACAGCTTCATGCAGATGATTGTCTTCACCCTAATTGGTCTGACCGTGCGTAAGCTCTTCTTTCTTAGCTTCACTCAGGGCTGTGTGATAGCGCCGACGGTATGCTCAAAGATCTGGTACCATCGTCAACGCAACATCTTTTGGTCCGTTTCGCTAGCCGTCTTTTTGCTCAGCATGTTTGATCCTGGCATGGTGGTCAGTATAGAATTAATAAGCCATTTATTAATATAACTATATTTCATAATATTTGCAGAACATACGTGAGGAATACTTTCCCACACGGTATACTCAATCATCGGATGATCTGGAAAGCATGCTGGAGTGGATTAAATTAAATACAGAACGCGATGCGGTGTTTGCCGGTCCCGTTGAAATCATTGGCACCGTCCACCTAACAACCAGGCGGCCGATAGTTAATCATGCGCACCTCGAAATGCGTCAAATGGCGTAAGTCCCTAGCACTTATCAACAAAACCTAATCACAATAAAAATAAACACAAACCACTTTACAGTGAGCGCACGGAGCATGTCTACTCGGTGTACAGTCGCCAGCAATCGTCTGATATATACAATCAGTGCACACAATTGAAAATCCAATATTTAATCATATCTTTAGACGAGTGCAGCAACGAAGTGCGGTAAGAGTCATACCATTGATTATTGTTTGAATGTTATCTATATATGTATTAAATACTTGCAGGGACGACTGCGACATCTTGTCAATTTGGGATGATAAGCAGCCAGCATTTCGGAAGTATCCGCAATTTTGTCACGAGCTTTTGCATAAGAATGTGCCTAGTTTTTTAAAGGTTTACGCGAACGATAACTATGGCATCATTAAGATGTTCTCCCAAAGTGTGCAGATCAATTTGAAGCACAACAAAATGCCCGAAATGTCAATGTGAGACAGACAATAGGCCCACAACCATATGTATGTAACTAAGGGCTTATGGCACATGTGACTAGAATATTTTACAAATATGATGAAATGTATTAGTGTTTAGTAGTGGGCGAGTAGGCGTACACAAACACAGACACAGACCCTATAATTGAGATGTTGACACCAAAAACCAGCTAAAACTAAACAAATTCTTTTAAAAAAATATATATACATAAATATATTTGAAACAGAATAAGAACACACACATACATATACATGTATGTATTTACCTAAACGCATTGCTTTCAAGAGGCATATGAATTTTGTTTTGTTTTAGATTTCATTTGGAAATGCATTCCCACTCCATATAAATAGAATGTATGTATGTGTGTACGGTTTAAGTTAAGTTTAGCTACGGATCCGACTAACTACTTTGCGAGTGTAGAACTTTAGGTGCTTCACTCATTTTGTGCATTAAGTTTAAGCTAAGCTTTTTACATATTATCTAATCACTAATCACACTGAGACACAGACAATCCGTTCGGCCATAGCCAATGGTTGTCAATATGTATGTATATGTATGCATATTGTCCCGCATAAATGAGAATAATGACCTCCCAGAGTATAAATTATTTAAAAGCTATTGAAATAAAGTTGAACAAACAATCAATCAGTTTTGTTCTTTTCTTTGGGAATACAAAAAAAACAGGCACAACTATTAAATAGGCCTTCAAATTGAGTCCAGGCCGAACCGGTTCGACACCCAATCACCAATTTTATAATACCATGAACCAAACTTAAACCTTAACTGAATAATTAACTAAATTACAAGTAAATTGAAATTATATTCAAATTAAAAAAACAAGACGAGAAGATTCGAACCAAGCGGCAAACCGGCTTTGAACCGAACCAATTAGAATTTTTTTCAAAAAAAAAAGTTGTGAGAGGGAGACACAGCCCCAAAGTATAAATGACTTTGGCCCCAACCATACTGGCTAGATGCCAAATTTGGATGGGGATCAAATGTACTCCACAAAATCAATTTGAAAATATTTACAGCTTGCAATATTTTCAGCAGAACGGACAATTATATAATACAAATTGAATTGTTTTATAACAATTTTAAAAATATATGACAAGGCCACAAACAAAACCTGGGTTTAAGGATTTTTAAAAGTGGGTTCACGAGTCGCATCAAAAGGCAGACAGTTCGGTTTCAAATCTTGAACCGAACCACCTACTCTTTCTGGATGTGCACCACTGGTTCGAACCAAAACCTGGCTTTACTGCTGTAGAAAACCTAGTGCACAAACCGAATACTCAGATGAGGCATTGATGTGAACCGTGAACCGAACCAGCAACTATTTTTCGGTTTGTAGCCCTGGCTCGAACCCAAACCCAGCCTGAGATGAGGCATTGATTTGAACCGTAAACCGAACCAGCCATTAAATAAATACGCATTTGGCATTGGTTTACTTCATGTAAACTTAATTTTATTTCTTTACTTTTTTGCGCGTGTGTGTTTGTGTAAATGTGTCTGCTTGTGAGTATTTGTTGTTATTTTTCATTTGCTTTTTATGGAAATCGTTGTTGTTTTTATAAATAATTCAAGGTTCATTTACAAAGAGCATTAGAGTTTTGAAGTTATTTGAATTCTAAACTCTTGAATGCGGCTATATGTACATTATTACGTACTATATCCACAGATTTTTTGTTACGATTAAATAGCAGTGACTTCTTCCGGCGGACTGGGTAGAGATTTAGCGTATGCAGAACGATTCAGAACGAACTTCAAGCAATAACTACTTATGCGTAGTTTAAGGCTTAAGCGTTCCTCTATATAAGTGTTTAGGTTAATCCTTTCTCATAAAAAGAAATGAGTTAGTTAAGTGTGTGCAATAAGATATAGCATCGATTCCATAGCGCATGCCTTGATTGCTTTTTTTGTTTTTTTGTCATTTAGTTTTTAGTTTAGCTGAAAGGCGAGCAGGTTAGCTAATATATCGTAAAATATAATATAAAATAATCTCAGAATAGTTTAAAGCATAGCAATCTGGCCAAATGTCTTAACAGTTAGCTACAGTCTTTCTTAATTTATATAATATACATAACATTGTATATTCATATATAAACATAATCTATATATATATATACTATATATAGTATTTATACAATCAATTAGAATAGTTCTCAGTTGTGTGCTAGTTTTGAAATCTCATATGGTTTATATTGTATGCATTCAACTGAACGTGTCTCTATAAGTAATATCATAACAATTTCATTGTTTTTGGGCTGTTTTTTATTTTATTTTTTATTTTTTTTTTTAATTTTTGTGGAAGCAGTTTTTAATTATTTGTATTCAGCTACTTTAACTAGACAGTTTATATGTATATAATACATGTTTTATACACACGTTTTAGTTTCCTGTAGCCCCAAAATCAAACTAAAGCACAAGGCATTTTGAAAATTTGTTAAAAAACTTGTTTCTAACAATCATTAATGTTTCAATTATAGCGTTTATACAGGACTTCTTATACACTAATGTACACTGTACATATGTATAAGTATTTTTTTGGTGCGCGCTACAGTGCAAAATATTTGCTCAATTATAAAATTCATTCACAGTTGTTAGATTTTATTTAGTTTTTATTTATTTGTTTTGGTTTTTGATTATCTGACTTGAGGAAATCATATTATATTAACGGATCTGGAGACTGCATTCAATTAATTCATTTAGTTGTTCACCCGTGTTGTCAGCTATTCAAAACTCTTAAAAGTTTTCTAAATTCTCTCTGGTTATTTTGAAAAAAAATATTCAAAATAATTATCTTCAGCAAATATGTGATGCACGTATGCTTTGTTTTAATTAACAATAATTCGCTACTTAACTAAAATACACAAGAGTTTGTTTGTGGTTTCTTTTTTTGTGCATGAGTTTTCGATTTGATTTTGCTATTTACGAGTATTAATAAATCTTTCTAATGTCCTTCAATTGAATTTGTATCACAGCAATATATTTGTTATTTTATTATGTAAAATACACATAATTATAAGAAATGTGTGTGTGCATGTCTCTGTGTGTGTGTGTGTGTGTGTGAGTATGTTCATGTGTGTATGACAAAAATATGAGCACAAAATGTTGAACATTTCTCTAAACTTATTTCAAAAATTCAAATTGTTAACATATTTATTCACGATAAGCTACAAAGTGAGCGCTAGTCTCGAAAGAATTTGGAAAAATTGGAACACAGCAATAATTGTTAGGTTCTCAGTACCTCATGAAGCTCGCATTTTAGCAGAACGCTTTAACAGTTCACAAAAGAAATTGTTAATAACAATTACATAGATAGTAAATAGATTTGAATGCGTTTGTCTTGAAGCGTTCTTGAAGCGAATAGCGTTTATTTTATAAAAATTGGTGTCTTCGTGTCGCATGGCAAATGAAACCGAAAGAAATGATTTGCCTATTGCACAAACATATTAAGCTCTACAGAGTATCGTACAAACGTATGTGTGTATATTTGGTTAAACCGTAGCCACAATTCAACAACCTAAATAGATCTGTATAGGCGTAGCCATAAAATTGCACTTTGTACTTTCAAATACGTTTGATGGTGGGACCTGTAAAGAATACCGAAACTTTGCGCTTGAACTTTTCCATTGTCGGCTCCAGATCCTCCTCCTCCTCGTAATCATCATCGTCGTCATCGTCATCATCATCAACAACATTATGGGTATATTGCTGTCCCGTGTGGCCAAAAAGAATGTGGCGCGTAAACGGCTGCACGTTCTTAGTTCCATCGGATTCACTGAAACCGGGATTAAGTATTATATTCGGTATAAGCTCAATGCTGTCCCAACCATCTTGGAGATCTACACAGGCCGCATAGCATGACATACAGTTGGGATAGATATCAGATCAGAAAGAAACAGAGTAAGAGTGAATAGGAAAAGGAAAGATAGATAGATAGATATAGAAATTTGGGAAGGGAATTCAGATAAATAGAGAGAGAGTAGAACGAAAGAACTGCATTAGGCATCATTTGATAACAATTACATTACCTTTGGTATTGATTATATTTTAAATGTGTTTTATGTTTGTTTTTATTTAAAAATATATTTAATTATGTGTGTGTCTATGTGTGCGTGTGTGTGTGTATTGGTGTGGCTGTTAAGCGTGCTCAGCAATTGACAAGCGAGCAACGCGGCGTATGCGTAATTTGTGTACTTGTATATTGTGTCTATATTCAAATCAAGGCTTAAATCTGTGTGAGTATCTCAGTGTGTGTGTGTGTGTGTGTGTGTGCAATTTTAAACACATACATAACATATGTATCATAACTTAAAACAATACAAGACTATAGAATATTCGGATAAATGTATTTGTCTTTCTTCATAAGGATTGAAACATTTAATTTGCGTGCCATAACAAAAGCACATAAAATGGAATTAAATTACTACTTATGTAAATATATATGTATATATATGTATATAGTATATGTACTATATAACATTGATTACATTCAGTTTACAACATCAATAAACGCTATGTTTAGCTAACATTTGATTATTTGTTACACATTTAAATTCATTTGAAATTCAACAACAAAACACGACAACAACAAAGCAGGAAAGCATAAATCATATAATGTCACCGATCTTATCACACCCCAGTTTCCTATATTGCAATATAGGTTATTTTCATTTCTTTTTCATTTCATTTGTTCGTTTACTTTCGGTCACGATTTAAAGCTTTTATATTTATTTTAATCATATATTTTCTGATTGACTTTTTCGTACTTGCTTTGAAATCCTATGCTAAAAGTCGTTTAGTGCACAATACTAGAGTTCTACTTAGAATTATTGAGTGCGCATTAAGAGTGTGTATAAGCTATCACAGATGTGCCTAAAAGTTTGGTCGCTTTAATATTGAGGTTCTTGCTAAGAGACGGCATTAGAATTATCTTTATCCATATTGGAAAACAGTTTTTGGAAGTATATGTGTATATATATATATCATATTTTTTATCTTGTATACATATGCTAGAGATTATCTAATAACAAAGCACGAATCTAAAAACAATTCGTTGGAAAAGTTAAATTTGTATTCCAAAAAGCAACAATTTTTTCATTCTTCTATCGAAGCTATGAAAGCTGTTAAAAGAGTTCAATTGAAATTTGATTATTAACCTCCTGTCAACTAATTGCTAAAATCGTTTTATATTTAACATTTAGTTTCTCTATTGCAGTGCGATTTTAACAGCTGCCTGTCAAATATTTAACAGCTAGCTTACAGAATTGTGAAGTTCCGCCAGCTAAGATGATGCGAATTGAATATAAAGCCAAGTTTAACTCAAAAGCCGCGCATAAACAAAACATATTTAAATTTTCTTATAGTTCGCTATATGCCCTAAATTAAATACTTTCAAATATATATGTGTATACAGCTAACCTACAATATACATATGTTTATAAGAATATTAGGGAAAATAAAAATCTTTGATTCTAAATCATGTCCATTCGCTTTTTATGTACACACATTTTATTCGAACGGACAAACATTTTGTTAAGTGGTAAAGTGCTTTGCATTAAATGATATTTTTTATAAGTAGCTGCTAAGTTTATACTGTCACTTGGCATGGCTTTTATTTAGCAATGTTCTTTTGTTTTATTAATGCATATATATATATATATATATATATATATATATATATATATGGTATATATATTGTTTCTTGAATAAACATCAAACGAACCACACACTAAAAAGGAGAACACATAAGCTACATTTAAACACCAACAACGACAATAACAATATGCATATCTTATTAAAAAAGTAAAAAATAAATCATAATAAACAAACAGCGGGCAAACGAAACAAATATGCATTAACGAAAAAAGTCCCAAAATGGACCCCACGCGCTATATGCATATAACATTTTTCTGATTTTTTATACAATTTGATACATTTACATATTGAACTGGACTGTGCTGTACAGTGTATGGGGCCCATTAAAAAGCATTCGATATTCGTTAATCTCGAACATTTACAACACTGGCAATGACAATGACAAGCATCATGTGCGTTGCAACAAGTTGCATTCGAATCGGCAATTGCTGTTGCAGTTGCAGTTGCAGTTGCAGTTGCATTTCGTTTCTTGGCTAAATTACTAGCAACAATAACAAGAACATTATCTAATATCCAAATCATAATTCCTTCAAATAAGTATGTATGTACGTATGCATGTATGTATTTATGTATGTACATAGTATGTGAACAATAAATGTGTTTAATTGTTTGCCGTTCGTAATTATGATTTGGAATTTGTTATTGTTATTGTTGTTGGTGAATTTTCTGTACCCATTTGCGTTGATTGATAGCACTCCTTAGAGAGCACAATACAGAGTCCAATGGCTAATATCACAAGTGTTCCCAGCACTATACTGACGGCGACTATCCAAATGCGTGGATCAAAATTATCTAAGTCGGGTTTTATAAGGCGTATGAGATCTGGACGGTCGTCGAGCATTTTGTAGACAGATAAGAAAAAGAGAGATGACAACAAAATTACCAGATACATGGATACTTAACCAATAAGAAATAATATATGTAGTTCTATGTGTTATAATACGACAAGTTCAGTTACACAAAGCTAAGGTCACGCCATGCAGGATATGCCTCTCACTGTGCATGTGATGGCAACCCTGCGCTGCGTACAGTTGACAATAAATATATATCAAGATCAATTTCTACACATAGATGGTACGATAGATGTGTGTTAGATACGACAGCAAGAAAACTATCGAATGTTTTACCTAGCTATAGCTATAATAATCAGATTTAACACTAGTCCCGGCCCAATCGGGAATTGGCAATTGGGAATTGTGACTGGCATGATTTGTAATTGTCTGCTTACCCTCCTCCTTGGTCTCTGGCAATGTTGTTACATTGGTGGTGACCACCTCACCGCTGCCCAGCTCATTGTTGGCCCATATACGAAACTCGTATGTGGTGTTGGGCGCCAGGCGATAGACCTCCATTTGACGCTGCGCCTCGGAAGTGATTATGTAGCGGAAATGATTCTTGTGAAATTGTCCCCCCAATTTGTTTTTATACAGAAATTGGGGGATGGGCGAGTGCGCCCCCTACTCACCACATTGGGCGCTATATTAATGGGATCCATGCGACTCCATTGGTGCTCATAGCTGGCATTCGCCGGCGGCGTGCGGTACGAGACATTGCGATATTCGGCCGTAAAGCTGCGCACAGGATAGCCACCGGATTGAGTCTTATTGAAGCGCCAAATCAGAAAGCCCAGTATGGTGGAGGCCTTGAAATAAAGCTGCGACACCGGGCCAGGTGTGGTGCGCACCGTCAGCTTGATACGTTGATAAGCCTGATACGCTTGCTCCACCACTTCCATCTCCTCTGCATTCGGCTCTTGCTTCCCCTGTTCCACTCCAAGCGTTTGCTGCTGCTGCTGTTGCGATGAGGTAGTTGCTGCTGTCGCTGGGATTGCTGTTGCTGCTGTGGATGTTGCTCTCGTTGTTGTCACTGGCAGCGTCGCAAAGCAGACATAGATGCCGCCATCCGAGGTACTCACATTACGCAACACCAATATACGACCCGTCTACGAAATGAAGGTGTTCATCAGAACCAATTATCAAATTTTAATTGTTCTATAAGCTGCATAACCTTATTTCTACAGCGAAAGCAAAAAATTCAACTATTGTACAAATAGACGTAGCCACCTGTATTCTGACTGTGGCTCTTAAATTGGAAAGGAAATCGATTTTCACGTCACCTTATCTGACGCGGGCGTACTCGTATGCATACCAAGTTTCAAGTCCCTAACTTCAAGACATAACACACGGATGGCAAGCAAGACGGAAATTAAACAGAACCCATTTACTCTCCTTCTTTCAAAATATGGAAGAGCATAGCAAAAGCGCTTTTTACCTCATATTAATTACATATTATTTATAAAACGAACACGAAATAATGGGTTTCGGCTAAATATATTCAACCGCACAGCAATAATCGGATCTTGTGCAAGGCTCTGGTCTAAATGCAACTCGCGGTAATTTAACCTAACCTAACCTAACCAAATCAAACCCAACCTTACCTAGCCCAACATAACATAACCTAACATAACATAACCTAAAATAATCCAACATAACCCAACATAACATAACCTTAAATAATCCAACATAACCCAACATAACATAACATAATAAAGCATAACCTAACCTAACATAATCTAACATAACCTAACATAATCTAACATAACCTAACAGAACATAACATTACCCAACATATCCTAATTCAACCTATGTACCCTGGAATACAATTCTTTCTACACATAAAACATTAATATATAAATTTGGATCTATCAGATTTTTGAATAAAATAAAAACAATAAACTTACCTGTATTATTGTGCTATTACTGCCGTGTTCCTTAACCCACATAATATTGCCTTGTGCTATGCAGGGTATGCTAACATTTCCACCTTTATCTGTCGCATATTCGTTGTACTTGATGGTGATACTAAGCACCGTTAGCACTGCAAAATAATGTATAGATAGATTGAAAAGAAAATGAGGTTAAATATGAAGCATTAATGATATTTATAGGAAAATTACAAATACCACATGATTATATTATCTACTTAGAATTTATCTATATAACTCAAGTAATTAAGTGCATTCCAATTCCACTCGCAAGTGTGGAAAATAGGTGGCAATAGTTTGTATACAATATTTTTGCTTACCCCAATGGACAGCTTGAAATTATTTTTTAAAGATCTGACTAAAAAGGTATTTGAAAAGTGTTTCATCGCTGTAACTGGCGGAAAATGGATGAAAACTTTTAATTGCAACAATTGCTTTTCCACCGATGTAAGAGATCTGTGTTCATATGGCATTTGAGACGTGGACTTTGAGGTATAGTATAGGAAAAGTGAAAAACTTAAAAAAAACAAGTAAGAGGTTCTAGTCGGGAGCTCCCGACTAGGGGATACCCTGAATCCTCTCCTTCCAACATCATATATATATTCTATTTTAGAAGCTATATGTCAAGTTTGGTGACTCTAGCTCTAAATAATAAGATTTACCAAAATTGCCAAAAATAACAAGATCGATTGCTTGGAAACGGAGTAAGTTATCGATTATCGGAAACAAACTCGATCTGCTGGGGAACTAGGAGCATCTACATCTAAAAGTCTCTAGCATTTATAGGTTCTGAGATCCTTGCGTTCATACATACGGACGGACGGACGGACGGACGGACAGACAGACGGACATGACTAGATCGACTCGGCTATTGATGCTGATCAAAAATATATAGAATTTATGGGGTCGGAGATGCTTCCTTCTGCCTGTTACATACATTTGGATTTTGCACAAATACAAAATACCCTTATACCCATTTTTAATGGGTTCAGCGTATAAAAACCTGGTATAAATTTAATGTTGTGTTTGGCGACCTTTCCATTTTATAATTTTTTGTTTATTGGTACTTGAAAACATTTTGAGGGTATTATTTTCATTGGGTATACTCTTGGGTGATATTCTTATAGTATCACAAAGTTGAGCTGCTATCGAGAGGGCGAATGTACTCCATCGGCTCAATCGGCATGCGCAATCAAAAGCCACTATAATTAATTAGCCAGATATAGGAATTTATATAAATATATAACATATATATGTATTTATAAGCAGGTGTTAACACTGCGCCGTCAGAGTTCAGTTAAGTGAATCATGGCCAGCCACACGGAACTCTTCCTGGCCGTCTACTTTCGGCTATTGGCGCTCACGTGCAGCTCACGGAAGCGGGCGGTCCAGCGGGTGCTGAGCGGCTACCTGGCGCTGATCCTGGGCGATATGGTAATACAGTTTTGGTATTACTTCGGCAACGGCTGGAATATGACCAACTGGCAGCAGCCGCAGCGGCAGCAGTTCAATGCCTATGACAAGATCATCGATGCCATGAGTGTGGCCCATCTGCTGGCCCATATGCTGATGGTGCTGCAGGCGCTTGTGTTGCGGAATCGGGAGCGCAGGCTGTTGGCCCAGCTGCCGACAGTGGGACCGCCGTCAACATTGATCAACGTGCGTCTCCATGCGACGCTAGAGTGCGCCCTAATCGGCTGCGCTTTCACAATGGGCACCTACCAGTCGCTGCAAAGCCATCAGCTGATGCCCAACTTGCGCTACTTCTACACCTCGCAGGCTGTTCGGGCGCGTTATCTGCAGATGACACTGCTTGTTGTCCGGCTGGATGGGCAGCTGCTGGCACTGGAGCAACAGCTGGTGAGGGGACGACGCTCCAATGTGGAGCTGCGTGCCAGCTATGCGCATATTGTGCGCCTGGCGCGCCAGCTCTCCCGCCTCTATGGGCTATCCGTGCTGATGATGAACGTGCTTTGCATTGGCGACTTTATTGTGGTGTGCTATGCCTATATTATACTCAGGCAGCTGACCAACATGAATATAAGCTGGCTGCTGCTCTGGCAGACCATATACGTGGTGCTGCCCACGCTGATCAAGATCTGTACGCTGTGCGCCGTCTGCGATAAGTGTGCCAAGCGGGTAAGTTTCCTGTCTAGCCATAATATATATCTCCATTAGCAGTCAATATAAACCCGAACTGGTCTGCCCGCAGTCGCAGCAGCTTCTGGTCGTGATCGGCGGCACTTGGAGCCAGGAGAGGGGAACTAGACCCAGACTCACACGCATACAAGCCGATGAATTCTCGCTACAGATTATGCAGAATTCCGTGCAGTTCGATGTCTGCGGCATGTACCATCTATGTCTGAAGACCATGGCTGGGGTAGGCTCCACTTAAGCCTTGGCTGTCTGTTCACTAAAGTTCACTGTACTTCACTGCTTTCAGATGTTTTTCTTCATACTCAACACGCTGGTCACTTTCCTCCAGTTCGTGCAGCTCACCAAGCAGCAGAGCAGCTGATATGGATTCGGAGATGCCGGAACCCGATTTGGCTTAATTCAGTTGCAACTTTAGACGGGATTTTCGATTTGTCGTTAGAAGTATTTGCAGGCAGCTAATACCCCTAATGTTTATGTAAACGTAAAGCTTTATTAAAATCAAGGCTGGCAAGCCGACGAAAGATAAACATGATACGGCTTAAGGCTCAACACAATGCTTCGCCTTAAGGTTCGATAAAAAGTTCGAGTAAAGCTTGTTTTATATACATATATATAAAGCCTGGTTTTGGTTAGCCACATTTCTGACAATCTAATGACATTTTCAACTAGTTAATTGTTCATATTTAGTGGACTTATATAAATATATATATATATATATATATATATATATATAGAAGAGGGAGCCAGATTATATGTTATATATATATATATGATATTTGTATATTCCACATTTCTACATTACTTTGGCAGCAAAATAAATGTGCAAATATCTGCAGTCTATATTTAAAACAAATTATTAAATAAAAACAATAAGCAAACAAAAATTACTAGAAACAATAATGTTTTGCAGCTTGGGACTCTCAATTCTCTTGGGATTTCAATTACCCAACGACTGCAGGCCATACAAATAAAAACATGCAATTTGTATAACAGCTGTCGAACTTTAAATTGATCGAAAACAAAAGAAGAATTAAAATAAATAAACTCGCATATTCATTTAAAAAATTGCAGAGCTCGGATACAGACGGGCAGCTGCCCAAGGCTCGCCAAAATTGTCAACTGGATAAAACATTTCGAGCGATTATAGAAAAAATGTTGCCTGCTGCGGCACTTTGTCAATTGTGACATAATGTCATTTTATACGTTGAATAGCCCCAATCGATTAACAGGAACAAAAAAAAAAAGAAGCAAAAGGTTCTAGTCGGGAGCTCCCGACTAGGGGATACCCTGAACCCTCTTCTTACAACATCAAATATATATTTATATATATATTCTATTTTAGAAGTTATATGTCAAGTTTGGTGACTCTAGCTCTTATTATTTACCAAAATTGCCCAAAAAACAGGATATCGATATGGATTTTTATCGATTGCTTGGAAACGGAGTAAGTTATCGATTATCGGAAACAAACTCGATCTGCGCGGGAACTAGGAGCATCTACATCTAAAATTGTCTCTAGCTCTTATAGGTTCTGAGATCCTTTGGCTCATACATACGGACGGACGGACGGCCGGACGGACGGACGGACATGGCTAGATCGACTCGGCTATTGATGCTGATCAAGAATATATATACTTTATGCCTCTGTTACATACATTTGGATTTTGCACAAATACAATATACCCTTATACCCATTTTTAATGGGTTCAGGGTATAAAAACAGGGTCAGCATGGCATTCCCAACGGACAGCAGCAACAAAAAGATTGTAGAGCTTTATCTGACGAACAGATGGACATTGAAAAAAGCGGATTATTGGTTTTTTAACCCTTTTAGGTAGAGCACATAAGAATCCATCACATTTTATTTAATAATGCTTTATCAGGCTACATATAAAGGCCATTTGTATTTAAGCAAGCTGCACAATCTGGCTTCGAACCCAATTTATTTCTCACTAGCCGAACTTTAAGCAAAAATAGTTGAGAGACGAACCGAAGCCCGAACTAAACCAAATAAAAATAAGGAACTTGTGAGATAGACTCAATTTTGGGTAGGGATCACATTTTAGCCCATATCTTGTTTAAGCAAATACGTACGGCTTGCCATATTTTCAGTACAACGGGCAATTGTTTATTAAAAGTGCAATTGTTTCATTTAAATACTTTAAATATATGTATGTGAAACTGAGGTTTGAACCAGCGCCTTGGTTCGAGGCAGTGCAAAACCAGCTTTAATCGCAACCAATGGCAGAATTGTTAGGCTTATAGCCCTGATTTATATTGCGTGTCAGATTTTGGTAAACTGAACTATCTTCAGCAGATTTTATTCTGTAGTTAAATCTTTTACGGCCGTCAGTTTTCAAAGCTTAAAGTCGAAATGCAAAACACGAGCTACGCACAATTTTGCCAGCCACAATTGTCAAATTCAGTGCCCATCATTTCGAATAAATTTCAGTCACGTTTCCAGCTCTCTGTCTCTGGGCATTGAGGACAATTGACAAATGCCAGGCTACGCCCTGAGGGTGTGTGTGTGTGTGGTTTTATTAGCCCACACAGTAAAGGGACTGTGGCAAAAGGACATATCAGCATGTACACCTTAACTAAGGTCTGTGCTGACTAAAAAGACAACACACGTACCTAAAATTTGATGCTTATTAAAATAAACACAAAATAGAAAAATGCTGCACTCAGCAAAATAATCGACATTAAACATACAAGAAAGTATCGTAGGAAATAGCGGAGAGACATGTTTAACAAATTCTTAAAAAAAAGGTTCTTGTTGTTTTCTTTAATTCTTTGAGTGTATATAGAATCTGTGGAGAAAGTGTGCCTGCTGTGATTGATGTGGCTTATGATTGAAAGTTCGTTCAATTAATCAGTCAGTCGCTCAGTCAGTCGCTCAATCATTCAGTCAGTTGTGCCTGGCAAACATAATGTTGATAAAGCAGCGCACAGACAA